ACCGGGGTCGTTCTGTTTATTCACTTATTAATATACACTGGTCATTGTCCACTTTGCGAATGCAAAATAAAACTCTCCGTAATACGTTGGCCAACAGAATCTCAGTTTTATTGCAAGAGTACAACATGTGTCAACTACGGCTATTGCCTCCACCATGCAAAATCAAAGAGTAGGTGGTGTCAACTACGGCTATTGATCAAGCTAATTTTTAAGAATGGGGCTGTCTACTCCTGAGGGGTACTTAATCCTGAAGGCTATCGGTTTGCAACTTCTGGGACCATTTGATGACTATTTGGTATAACGTCAGCAGCAATTTTTAAAAAATTCTCTGATCATGCAGCAGCCTTCGAAGAAACATGCAGGCATTGATTAAGCAGTGCTATCCAGTCAACGGAAAAAGGTGGTGTCAACTACGGCTATTGCCACCACCATGCAAAATCAAAGAGTAGGTGGTGTCAACTACGGCCATTTTTTTGTTGTCTGTCGATCAAGAAACGACGCAGTTCACTAAAATACATGATGGATGATGAAGCTACTTCACATCTGCATGATATCCAGAGTAGGGGGAAAAAGACTGTTTTATAAAAGTGAGCCTTTTCGGTTTTGCCATCGCAGAAATCGTGAACGTTCGAAGAAATTCAAAATGATGAGATAAATAGCTTACATTCTGGGCTACAAGATCCATATAATATGAACTTTGCTAAACAGGAATTGGAATTTTACTGTTTCAGACATCGTTTCCTCTAGTCGACAGACGTTGAAGCCGTTCTTCAATGTCCTTATGAATGTTCATGTTAAACGAGTGCAAATAAATATATTTTCAGCTGAATATAATCCTAATGGCATATATTTTCTTAAGTTTTCGCATTTAAATCATTATCACCGCCTCAACTATTGCAAGCAGCAGCTCTAATATTCATATACTTCGAAAGAATATTGTTTTAGAATTACTAATTCATCATCTAAAAATTTATTTAATGAGTCACATGTAAAATATTTTAAGATAAATTCCAATATTTATTTTGTTCATTAGAAAAACTCCGTTATTTCTCTTAGACGAAGAGTGCTCTTCGAAGGAACTTCCGGAGTTAAACCAGGACGTTTGAGGGATCAAAACAGGTCTGTCGAGTTTCTCTAACTGGTTGACCCGGCTTCAAAATTTCTTCTACTGCCTGCTTAGAATTCTTCTTTGTCATCGTATTTAATGTCCGTTTTCTTTTTTCGTCAGTTTGATTTTAGTTGGGAGTAAACATAATCGAATTTGAGTTGGTGTTACGAACTATTTGTATTCCTTATTGCTCCCGGTGTATCTATCATTTCTAGTCACATAATATGTTTTCGTTCTCAGTTCTCTTCTTTAGTTTTTCGTGGCTATTTAGGCGTATAAACACACCAAATTTCCTTTGGCACGTGGATATATGCCATAAAAGTGATACGAAATCCTCTAAGCACCTTTTTTCAAGCTTTTCGTATACGCTCTTTCCAATGGCATGATTTCCAAACTTTAAAAGTATGTTCGTACAAGATTTCAGAGATCCAGTCTCTAGAAAACTATTAGAAACATATTTTGGGAGTAAACATAATCGAGTTTGAGTTGGTGTTACGAACTATTTGTATTCCTTATTGCTCCCGGTGTATCTATCATTTCTACTCACATAATATGTTTTCGTTCTCAGTTCTTTTCTTTAGTTTTTGATGGCTATTTAGGCTTAACTCCGTTTGGTACCATTTACAAGATGATAAAACTCGTGTTACAATTAGAAAAACTTTTATTCTGCCAATGTTTTATCTTTTTACATGACAATGATTGCATAGAAAAATATTTTCACGTTCCAATGCATAAGAAATATCGCAATTCACTGACTTTTAAAACCAAAACTAGGCAACATGATGCTACATCTATCTAAAGTATGTTTCTGTTTTACTGCATTTTGCGGTGGCTATTAGGTTTCTTTTACTAAGTTGTCGCGTTTTTGAAGAGGTCAGTTCAAACTAAAATCCGAAAAACGGGTGAATAGAATGGTATTTAGCTAGTGTAATTAATCGCAATGTCGGTAGTCCAATAATTTGTTGTTTCTAAATGCGTCAAAAAACAGTTGATAATCACGACGCGATGATGCACCATAAGCCTGAAACAGAAAAAAAGAAATAGACGGATGGAAAGAAAACGCAGTTATTTACCATTCCAAAATCAACGATATATCGAATAAATTCGTTTTCTCGTCCGCTGATTGCGTCAAGAATCGTCTTTTCCGTATTCTGATTAGCAACATCAATTGGTACATTGAAACCACGTTGATGAAGCGTTTGTTTCGAATCAACGTCAGCTACACAATGAATTTTAGCTACAAACAAGAGAATAGAAACGAATTCCAAGTTGTCATAGTAGATATTTTAAGCGTGTCAGACCTCCAGACAGTGCTGTTACTGCATTTTTAAAAACCTTTAAACAACATTTGTTAGTGCTGACCCTTTCCTATGTGACAACTGACATAGAAGTACCTGTTGCTTGTCCCAAATAGTTGATCACTTGAACGGCGTCCGTATATTTGGAAATATCTGCCCAGGCGAGATCTTCCATATAGGGAGTTACTTCATCAACCAGCATCGCTTTATTATCTAGTGTTGTGAATCCCAGCCATTTTGGAACATGTGCCTGCATCGCATATGCGCACAAAACAATTCGTACTCCATCGTGGTTGTGGTAATCGTGTTCGAACTGAGTGTTTTTCCTCGCGTAGCTCACTGCTGATGTTTGAGCTTCTTTTATAAACAAAACTCGATCTGTTTCCAGAGTTTCTGATCCGCCTTCGATCAAAATCGTGTAACTAGTTCGACCAGCGCTGCCAATGCCCTCCCCGAGTCGTTGAACAATATCCTTGACGACGTACGACCGATTATGGTGGTGTTTGTTCACTGATATTGTGCTCAGATACTGTTTATAGGCCTCCATTACTCTGACGTACAACGTCTGATCAATATCTTTGGATGATTTGTCTCGAACGAGCCGCCGTTCACTCTTTTCAACGCGCGACAAGCTAGCCAGAAGTTTCGCGTGTGAACTCGTTTTTGTCTTTTCTAATAGATCGTGCACCTTACCCTGCGTATTCTGGAGTGTCAATGCAAACTGATCTTTTTGTTGATGGCAAAAATAGTATACCTGTTTCACATATTGATTGACACACGCGGACAAGGCATCGCCAATTTGCTGGTCATTAAAACCTTTTGAGTAGAGCACAAGATTTAAACTTGCTACCAAACGTTTTAGATCCCACGTGAAGGGGCCCATATACGCTTCATCAAAATCGTTGACGTCAAAATTCAATCGGCCTTCACTATTGAGATATGTGCCAAAATTCTCGGCATGAAGATCCCCGTGGATGAATATGTTTGATGCCCTTGAGTTATTTCTCACCCACGGATCATCAATTTTATTCATATCTTGATAGAACAAAACAGCCGAACCACGATAGAAGGCGAATGCTGACGCCATCATTTTTCTGAAACGTTCGTTCCATCCTTTTGGATTCTGTTGGATATTCTGACCAAAATATTTCTGGAACACGTCGATGATATATTGTTCTCTAACTGCATCCGGTTCACGTCGAATGGAGCGGATAGAGGATCTGGATGTGTCCGAACGGGATGGCAGCAGTGGCCTGAAATTGCAGGAATAGAACGCACAAGATGCCCTTACTGTTTTTTGCTAACCTTGGTATCGCTTGCTTATGACCATGTGAATCCTGGTATTGGTGTTCATGAACGTCGTATCGTCCACGACTGAATGAGAACGGAAGACTACCTGTAATTATCCTGTAACATGAGAGAAAAGCTACTTACTGATCTATTATCTCGTGGCGGTGCTTTTCATGCCGGTGATGCGGAAAAGAAGTGGGATAAATCGGATCCATATACAGGCCTTCGTGATTGAAAGCCATATTAGAGGCTCGTATTAAAAGTTACAAAATATGAAAGTGTGTGATATTTCTACAAACAAACGTGGTATACAATGTACTTTATAGTAATGAGATGAATAGTTTTTTCCAATTATTTCTTTCACGCTTCAATCACCTTAGAACACAATGCGACTGAAATTACCAAGGAAGCAGTGAGACGCATATGTTGTGTGTTTGTGGTTATATTGAATGTTGATTTCCCTTGGGAGACACCTTTCTTAATTTTATGAATATAATAATGTACTCTTTGTGCTAGAGTAAAGCGTTAAGGTCGAATGAGAGGATTATAAGCATTGTATTAAGGCATCATTTATATATGCTCTGATGCAAATTAATTTCTGTTCGCTTTTTATTGTTCGAAGAAGCAGGGGTTGAAGATTTATCGTATTGTGAAGGGTACATAATTCAAGCCATGTTATTCGAGAGGTGTGTTTGGCATCAGCTCTTTATCATATATAGTATAAATAAGTAGAACAGTTTAAAATCATTCGAGAATAGACTGAAATCCCTTTGGCCTTTCCCTGTTGACTCGATTCGCTAAAACAAATTCATTAGGAGTTACCGCTAGGGGTGGCGCTTTACCGTTTCTTTACAGGTAACGCAGTAACGCATGCGTTATTGCGTTACTGGTAACGAGATGCGTTTATTTTTCATAGCTTTTGTAACGAGTAATGCAGCGTTATTTGCGTTACTTTTCTAGTAACGCAGTAACGCTTGCGTTACTCGTTACCAGTAACGCATAATATAGTAACGCTTTAGTCGCACTGTGTCCGCAAGGTGATAAAACAATACATTTTCGGTTGTTCGTCACTCATACGGTGATATTTGAAAGCGTTGCTTTACTCAGTAAAGTAACGCATCAGTAAAGAAAATGTGCCACCCTTAGTTACCGCTTTAAGCTACGAAAATTGAGTTAACGACCACATCGGGATTGTTGAATCAGTTTGACGCCCTGTAAGTGCTGCCGCTACTATCTCGATTGTACATATTTGAAGTCATAGCGGTAGAAAGATGAATACAAAACATTGCAATAGATAAAATAAGCAATGCTGTTGAAACACCAGGTGGCAGTTGTATTTAGTACTCCGATTCAGAGTTGAAACTCGGCCGGGCGCATGCGAACCCGGGCCGATGTAAAATTTCAGACCGGCAGGTCTAGAAAAATTTTCAAAGCGGACAGTGTCGACTACTTTTTTGCCGTTTTTAGAACTTTTAGCATTTTTCTCGTGTTCATTCAAAAGAGACTGGATAAAACAACTAAGAGAAATCTGAAAAAGCTAGTGAAGACTATTTTTTTCTTAAAGATATTTGATTTTACTGATAAAAGTTCTCAACTGACCGGTCTTTTTGCAGGTTTTCACCGGTCTCGAAAGATATTTAGGCCGGTCCAGTCCGGTCTGCTGTTTTGAATCAGCCGACTCAGTCCGGCGGTCATATACCAGGCAATGCTAAAGTGAGAAATATTCTCTCTATCCTCGGGTCCTAAGCTCTGGTTGACAAATTAAATGAAATAAGTGCCAGTGTGCAAAATTTATTGTGCAACAAGTGGAAGAAACTTGGTGAATAACAAACAGAAACTGTTACTAGACGCGTTTCTGACTGCTATTAGCAGAGATAGAGAGTGATACGAGAACAAGTGCCTTGGCTTAAGACTCCTTGAACCCAACTTAAAACTTTAATTTATACGGTTGAATGTTTTTTGTATAAAAAACGCTTCAACTATTTTTTGTATATATAATTGCCATAGAAAATAAAATTTTTGTTTATTGCGACGCGTTTCGTTTTGTTTAAAAATAAAACTCATTAGGCAATTTTTTGATCTAAAACACACACGAAAAAAACTTAATAAAAATAGAAGATAAATAAAAAAAAATTTTTTTAAGATAAAAAGTATCAGACACACACATACACACACACACATAAAAAGAAAAACGAAAAGAGCTTTATCCCGAAAGTGACTGTCTTAACGGCATCACACAGACACGCAGGCATAAAATGCAATTTTTAATTGTTGCTTTTATCCTGGTGTTGTGGTTGTTTGTTTCCACCGAGACGCTCCATATCGTCTGCCAAATCCTCCATGTCGGATGACTCATCTGTGCGGATGAGTTCTGCTACATGGCTCGGCGGTCCCTCATCACTATCATTGCCATCTTCTTCTGGAAGTGATGGAGCGGATTGTTGATGTACGTTTTGTTCCTGCTCCATCACCATCATATTTATCGCCGTTACCACTCGTTTTTTCCGCTCACGTCGTTTTCGATTTAACAACGTTTTGCGTTGCTGACGTTCGTGCGTCAAAGTTAAGTGCCTGACTGGTGTGGCTACTGGACGCGCACGTTCGTATGGTGCTGAGTGATACTTGTCGGTAGGCATGCACCAATATCAATCATTATTGAAGATATTGTACAATATTATTGGCTATCCAATAATATTGAGACCCAATACTATTGTATTCCCAATATATTGGGATCAATAATATTGGTCAAACAATCT